TGCAGGCCCCTTACCTGTATAATGTTGAGTATGGATATATAGCAGTGGTTGGTTGCATGCCCTTACCTGTATAATGTTGAGTATGGATATATAGCAGTGGTTGGTTGCACGCCCCTTACCTGTATAATGTTGAGTATGGATATATAGCAGTGGTTGGTTGCATGCCCCTTACCTGTATAATGTTGAGTATATATATCCAGCAGTGGTTGGTTGCATGCCCTTACCGCTATAATACTTGAGTATGGATATATAGCAGTGGTTGGTTGCACGCCCCTTACCTGTATAATATTGAGTATGGATATATAGCAGTGGTTGGTGTTGCGGTCCTTCGCTGTCGACACCATCATGTTCTTTGGCTGCAGCAGCCGGCGCATGACGTCCAACACGGTGGTCTTGCGCACACTGATCGTCGATTCCTCGTCGTCAGCGGCGTGTAGCCAGTCATGAGAAGTGTAGCCGCGGTGTCGGGATGAGAGAGGCGATCATGCCAAGTAGGTTGTTGTTCATATAGCCTGCGTGTGTGCGAGGGGAGCAATAGCAAAACAAGGATTTAAAGTGACTTACGAGTATTACACTTCGTTTTAGATATTTTACACGAAACAAGAATTAACCTATCTGCCAGGTATGACGTACCAGGGTAGTAGAGCTAGTATTAGTATTACGTACCAAGGTAGCGCAGAGCTAGTATTACGTACCAGGGTAGCGCAGAGCTAGTATTACGTACCAGGGTAGCGCAGAGCTAGTATTACGTACCAGGGTAGCGCAGCGTTGAGGTGCTGGCGGACATGATTGTCGAGACGAGTGTGTTGACCTGTGCGAAGGTCGGGTTCTGCAGGTGCAGCCTCTCGGATGCGATGCGGTTCAGCGATGTGTTGTCGAGGACGACGACGCAGTCGGCGTTCTCCGTCAGGCGCTTGAGCGTCAGCAACGAGTTGTACGGCTGCACTACCACGTCACTGATCTCGTCCTGGTTCGGGAACACCTGTGAGCGCGTTTCAAATGCGTCGTTACATTGAGAGTAAATTCCGAGTATAAATTATTGAAAGTGTGTGCCTCGAGCACGATTAAAGGCACAGGATCTGGGATTTACAGGTACTGCAAGAACATTAAAATTCCAGCGAGCCATACGCACAGAAACTATTGACCCGTGTGTGTGGCAACGTGTTCCATGAGCTGACATTAAAAAGAGCCTTGCGCAGATACTGACAATCAGCAGTGAGAGGGGGTCTGGCCCGAACTGAGAGTGCATGAGCCTTCGTGCAGATGATGGGACTAAGTTAATTTCAATAAGCGATAAATGTCAAAGGATAAAGTGGTAGTCTTTCGGCCAGCATAGCTAATGTACTGGACCGTCCATAATAGGAGAAATTACAGAAACTAGGTAGATTAGGAGATAAATATCAATTTATTAGGGATGTTGAAATGTTCACGATTGGTTGTGATGGAACTGACCGCCTGGGTTAAAACACACAAGGACAAGACAAGAAAGAGAAGACTCCCTGGTAGTGTAGCCAGGACAATCGCCAACTTTCCCCTCTTACTGTGTAAGTTTCATTGCATCTCAAACAGTAACCAGGGTTATATTTTCAGTCTATTAAACTTGTTATTATCATTGGTAAAACATGGTCGCAATAAGCGTGCTAAATTTCCAAGACCCAACATAACAACGGCCTATTTTCCAAGAATTCCAAGACCATAGCCCACATACCACGAGCTGGAAAATTGCATTTTAGAATGCCAAGACTTTTTATGTCTCCCAGGCCCCGCACGAATCCTATTCATTCACTGTAGCATTACGGCACGCGTGGCAACTCACCGAGTATGTCTGCAGTAGCTTCTTGGGAAAGCGGTCGTTCAGCCGCTCCAGCAAGAATGACCCGAGTCCCGATCCGGTTCCGCCGGCAATCGAGTGGCACAGAACGAATCCCTCGAGGCTGTCACTGCCATCGGCCTCCCGGTCGATAATGTCAAAGATGTCCTCGGATAGCCGCTGGCCCTGCGAATGTCCCGACGCCCAGTTGTTGCCCGCGCCGCCGCCGTGCTCTGAGATGAAGACGTTCTCGGGGTTGTAGAGCCCCGCGTACTGCGACGACATGATGCCGTGAATGACGCGCGGTTCAAGGTCGAGCAGCACGGCGCGAGGGATGTAGTGTTCGTCGTCCGCCTGGTAGAAGAACACATCCTTCCTGTCCGTACCCTCCGTCGCAAAATCCTCCAGGATGCCCTGCGGACGAGAGGTAGGGAAACAATTACGCAATTTACCTCCCAAGACACTTCCAAAGACGAGGACAAAATAAACAGGTTTTTTTTCAATATTAACGATACCATGACATCGGGGAGAACGTTTATTTAAAAAAAAGACTGGGAGGGATGAAATCTTTTGTTGTTTAAATTAAAGAGGAATAGGGTAAAATACTTTGTTATCTTAAAACAGTCACAGCGTGAGAAACTAGCGGTCGCCCAGTCGCCAGTGGCGATTAGAAAATCTACCGGGCGACTGCTTGCTTGTGTCAGCTGGTCGAGCGGGGCGACTAGATAATCGCCGCACAGCAGCGAAAAAAATACAGACTTGTAAACAGGAGCGCATAATACGACCCGTTTCTCAACGTAGATGGGGTATCCAAACCTTCTAGAGCTGCATGAACTCCCTCAACGCATGATTCGCCACACGAACAAAAACTCGCGACGGTCTAAGAAATCGATTGCGCCGGCATGTAGTGCAGCTTGCATAACAATAAGTTTTTATATCGCAGGTGTTATCGTGGGAAGTGAGGGGACGACCAGTGACACCTGACACGCACGTAATCAAAGCTGTTAACTGAATTCGTCACTTTTCATGTGGACTATTGGAAAGTGGAATGTGGAAAGTGGACTAATTTTATTCAGTTAGATATCTAGAAACAATGTAAACTGTATATGGCCAATTCCACACCAACTGTGACATGACTGCCAAAATTTCAAATTGATTTTACAATTTTTTCTCCCCTATTGTTAGTAAGGGGTATATCTATATTTAATGAGTATGATATAATATCATCTCAATACGTTTGTTTTAGTTGTTATATCATCATTTGAATATGGATGCGCAAAAGGACAATTTATTGCAAATTTGGCATTAAAAAAAGTAGGTTATGAAAGTGCTTCATTTTTCACATAAAATTGTACTTTAGGAATGCTACTTTAGATATTTAGTTATGACAAATAAAGCTTCTCTAATGAAAAGAAAAAAGAAAAAAATTGATATCCGTTGCCCGAAGCGCAATACGAGTAATTATTTTCCCGCTCCATTTTTCCATTGGACTGTGTAACGTCCGTAACATTTTGTGCATTTTTTTTAGCTGTAAAGAAAAATAATTGACTGACTTTTATATTATCACATATTTACTGCAAACTTATGATGGGTTAAATTATAGAGCAGAAAATTTAGAATTACAATAATTAGAAATAGGCTAACGAGCGTTACGAACGTTACATAAAGTGTTACGGACGTTACATAAAAGTGTTACGGATGTTACGGCTTCTATACTTGAGGCACTGGAGAGCTTTTGCCACTTCCTTCTTACACGAGCTATATGCCCCCTCTTCAAAAATGGTTTTGGCCTGGGCGGCTACACACTATGAGCACATGAATGTCATCCAGCAGTTTATTCTTAAATAGGAAGGCCTTTTGGTTAGCATGTAGATGTCAAAGGGTAATGACATTTTAGCCTAAGCACAATAATTGTGTACAATCCTTTGAGCAAAAATTCTGATTGTGAATAAGAGCATACATGCACCAGGGTGCTACAATTTTTTTTCCTCACTTGCCAGGTCGGGCAAGTGACTCATAAATTTGGTTGACAACAAGCCCAAAGCACTTGCCTGAAATTATTAAGGGGAAACAAACAAGTGCCGCAGAGCGACAGCGCTCATCTAACGTCTACTGCGGTGACTCTGTGGTGGAGTGGTGGGATTCTAGTAAACCCTGCTAGAATAGGTAAGCACTGATCCATTTCCCTACCCAAGCCTACAGGCTGCAATAGAGAGCTGCCACC